TGGTTACTACCTATCTTTATGGCGATCTAGATTTTTGAGATATATAAAACTGCTTGATGGCATTAAAATACCCAAATCAAGCAACTCTAAACCACATAGTGTGTTTGCAATAAAATTGAAACGCGATCTTTACAGATTAAAGCAATGTCGGCGGATGTAGTATTCCCGCGTAAGTGAACACTCAATTGAGAATGGATATAAGAACGATGAACTGTGCCCTTTGTGTATTTATAAATAAAACGAGTTCCAAATTTTCAATCTTAGTTTTATATGTCGATGTTATGAACATAATAGACATTCTTGATGAAATAAGAGAAACCAAATCTACTTAAAATTTGAATTTGAGATGAAAGATCTTGGGAAAACTTGGTTTTGTCTAGCTATTGGAGTTCGACACCAAGCTTGTGGAATACTAATCCACCGATACGCATATGTCCAGAAAATGATTAAGCGATTTAATATGGAAAAAGCGCATCAGGCTAGCACTCCCGTGATCGATCAAAGTGTTGGATATAAGGAAATATCTATTTTGTCTAAAAGATGATGACAAAGAGGTGTTGCGAGCTGGAATTTTTCTACCTAAGTACAATGGGCGCATTAATGTTTAGCACAATACACTTAACCATATATTGTATTCGATGAACTTGTTAGCTAGATTTTGCTTAACGCCAATGCAACATCATTGGAATGATATCAAGTTAATTTTTTAGAACCACTGACCTGGGCTTATACTTTCCTTACAGAGTGGCAAATGAGATTGATAATGGAACTTTGATACCTACTTAGGATATGAGTGGCAAAAAGAATCAAACCTTATAGAAAAACACCAAAATAATGTCTTGCTATGTCTTTGCTAATATTAGGTATTTGTCTAATCCATACAAAGGTTGTTCCCAAACTAGATAAGGAATTACCACAAGAAACACGCTGATTGTTGAGAAGTAAACTAAGCAAACTCTTGTAGCTACCTATTCGAATTATTCCAAAAATATTACTCTACATGTGATTGTTGAAAAGTGTACATGGTCAAAGACTATCATTACACATATTAGAAGAGCTAGTGTTTTGAGTTCAACCAATATCCTACCTGCATATATGGGAGAAAATGCATCATGTATAATGCAAGTAAGATGCATCAAAGGTGATAACACAAAGCATATTCTGCTTAAATTTTTATACAATCAACAATAACAAACTCTCCTCTAGATTCAAGTAAATCAAGTAATATCCAGGTGAAAGTAACATATTTGCTTACCAGATCATTACCTAAAACTATATTTGGAAAACATGTAAAAATTATCGAAATGCATAGACAAACTCCCTTATTTAATGCAGGAGTAGACAAAAAGCGGAGTCTGCCATACATGTAATATTAGTATATTGTAATTTTTACTTCACCCAACTTTTTATTTTTCCCACTGGATTTTGTTCGTTGGTGCAAGGTTTTAATGAGGCAACAATTGATACATCATTTTGTTTTCTTAACCCTCATGATTAATGTATATATCAAAGAGAATATTAGACTAAAGGAAAAGTCTGTATTGCAAACAAACTAATGCTTTGTAGTCTTCATCCAATTTTTATTTTTTCCAACTAGGTTTTTATTTTGGTTATGGTTTTAACGAGACAATAATTATGTATTTTCACTCTTTGATTCGGCACAGGGGGGAGTGTTGCAGAATGAATGTGCTATTATCTAAGGATATGACGATATAGATAGAGATAAAACACATTAAAGAAAGATTATATCTCTCATAGTCATCTACTTGTAACTCATCCCTATTTAAAAGACTATTGAATAATGAGAATTACATATTCATACTCTCTTTTAATTGTTTGTTCTATTTGGTTTTTCCTATAAAAATTATTACTAATTATTGGTCAATATTAATTTCAAACTATTAATTAACTTTAATTGTGAATTATACATTT